ACGTGGCAATAGACGAAATTATAATCGTCATCATTTTTTTAATAAGAACAATAGGGATTCTCATAATAATCATTCACTTTGTGAAAGTAATATTTGTCATCGATTTGACATGAGATTTTATAAAGCACATATAGATGATTATGGTCCATTCATGATGTGAATGTGACAACATCTGATTTATGAATACATATTCATTCTTGGAAGAATATGAACGTGCTAGTGGTAGTGAATATACCACACTCACCTCTAGAAGGAGGTTTGAGATGATATAAGAAAATAATATCATTATTATGGCATGAATGGTCATTGGTCACGTACCTATTGCACGCCAAAATATTTTGGTAATGTGATTATTAAAGCATAACATTAATGCAAGAAACATATCTTGCATATAATTTTGACCATAGACCATAATGGTATAACTTTCTCTTTAAAAGAGATATTCACCATATGGATGTTGATGAATATGTGGTAGTACCAAATTAATTGAGAGCTCTGGAAGAGCCAATTATTACTATTTTGGAGGAATAAAATTGATTATAAATAAGACATTGTGTTGTAGTAAGTCTCAAAGAAACTTAATTGAGTTTCTAATGTATTCGCGAAAGCGGTTGGTCATACTGAGACTATAAATAAAGGAAAGATTTAATATCTTCTATTACTACGACTTGTAGCGGGGTAATACGTATGTAAAAAGTTACCTGCTTTATTCTCCAGTTTATACTACACGAACAAAAGAATGCCACAATAAAGTAGAAGTTTATTGATATAAAAACTCATATCATAATAAACTTGAAGTTTATTGATAATTGCACACGTCATGGTGTAAATCTGAAGTTTATCAATATTGATAATTTATTCAGTTGGCATAATTGGTTTAGCCATATCAATTTAAGTATGATGTGCAAAAACTAATAGAGAATTCACATAGGTAAATATTAAAGAACTAGAACGTTCTTTACGAATTCTCTTATATTGCTTGTTCTCATTAATTAATAGAAACTCAAATTGAGATTGAATCCCATGAATGTTGGAAATATCAAAGGTGAATATGGGCTCATTCACCTACCATGTATACCACATAAGATGCATCTATGAGATGGTTACATGTGCGATTATTATTAACCCGCAACATGGTGTTTGCGAGGTAACTTGCTTATTAAATTTGATTTAGAGCATAATTTCCAGATTTTTTGTTCAAAATAGTTCATCTTGATAAGTTGGTTTACATCACAGTTGGTTTAGCAAAATAATTTATTGAGTACCTCCACTTAATAGCTAAACTATTTTTAATGAGAACAAAGTTATCTATATCGGTTTGATATAGGTTATATACGAAAGTATATTACATTCTCCCCTCATAAGTGGTTCAGGGCAAGAACCAAATAATTTTATATTATTATTATTGATGTGCGGTGTATATTTTGATTAATACCATAACACACAAAGGTGAGTTTTCAAAATTGAGGAAGAAAGTTAGTTTCTCTAACATGAGGGGGAGACATGATAAATAGTTGAGAAAAAGTTACGTGGAATGAATCACCATGTGTATATCTAGATCCTCGAATAAAATCATATGAACTTGAAGTTCATAAAAGGATAATTCATTTGCAATATATTGCAAAGCAAGCCAGACGCATTTGCTGACCTAAAGAAAGTAACTATATTCTCATTGCAAATGCTTCTATTAAGTCCTAGAAGGACAAAGTCTATGGTACGTTTAAAGCGTATAGACAAATCGATTTCAAATAAAACTTCTTGATAAAGAAGATGAGCAAATGATCAAAATGATCATAATAAGGAAGCAAGTAATCTAGAAAATCACATGACATAACACTTCATAAAATCTCAGAAAAGATTCGGGTACCTGAAAATATGAATGAAGAGATCTCTATGTTATGTCTTTATGAAAAAATATTGAAACTGATATAAAATGTTCGTCGACGACATCTATGATAGCGCTAAGTATAGATGAGGACCTCAAGTCTGTCGAATACAGATACAAAAATATTGGCCAAATGAAAGAGACACAATTCAAATAGAATTGGTTTCATATGAAAGACATGTAGTTCAAACACTTGAAAGCATAAAGACAATGATATGTGCAATCAGTTTTCGATATCTTATTTGTCTAGCATGACATGAAAACTTGATATGCATCTAATTAAAGTATATTATATGACTTATATTTTTTAACTTATATGACAATCCTTGAAGGATTTAAATCGCTTAAAGCATATAAAATTCTTGGTCATGAAGTACTACATCCTAAATACAATTTGTGCACATTTGTATCTTGCTATAATTATAAGCATGATAATGTGTTAGCGAGAATTTTCAAGGTGCAACATATTCATTGGATTTTATATGGGTGATTTATTCACCAAATCTCTACCGACGTCAACCTTCAAGAAGCTAGTGTACAAGATTGGGATGCGAAGGCTCAAAGATGTGAATTGATGATGCTCTCATTAGGGGGAGTTAATATGTGTTGTAATCTTTTTTCCTTACAAGGTTTTGTCCCACTGAATTTTCCTTGTAAGGTTTTTAATGAGGCAACCAAAAGGCGTATTTCTGAACATGTGTACTCTTTTTCCTTCTCTAGAATTTTTTCCCATTGGATTTTATTTTAGTTAATGTTTTAACGAGGCACATCATCTGTTGGATAGACATTCAAGGGGGAGTATTATAAATAGAATTTTATTTATGGTGAATGTCTATATTTAGAGAGATTCTAGGGATTATTACTTGGTGGCTAAGTCACTCTTTCCATATAAATAGAGGGTTCTATTCCATTGTAATTCATCCCAAATCATAAGAATCCTCTCTTCCTACTTTTCTCCGCAATTCTCTTTTCTTCTTTTATTGTTTTATAACATGGATCTGTTTTTTCATTTTTCTTATGGAATCTTTACATAAATAGCCAGTCGCATTCACTTTTTTACTTTTTAGCCATATACATAGATTATACATTAATTATACACATATAACATACAAATTATGCATGTATTATACCTTCACCGGCTATTTTTATATCTTGCTCTGATTAAACACCATCTTAGAAAATGAAACTAATGGAATAGTCAATGTATGGGTCCAAATTTGACCGACCACGACCTGCGACGAAGTACGACAAACGACCGGATATCTTCGAGTCGATGTCCCGAGGGAGACGACCTTAGGGCAAAAGAATAGACTGTACGACCCTTGTAATAGTGTAAGCCCATTAGGGGACATTAGGAATATTCCGTCGAATATTCCTTGTATTTTGTTTCTTACAATTTAAAAGAGTTTCTCTCTAGTATAAAAGAGGGAAAGTAACCATGTAACAGGGCATCTAAACTCGGGGAAAATGAATATTTGAGAATGAAAAGAAACTTATTGACGATCATCTCTCTACCTATTACTTCTTCTAGAGTTTATTATACTCAGCTAAGATTTACCCCTTCGTCTTTGATTGATTTGTTCAAAAAGGTTTTAATATCTTTTGAGTCAAACAATTTGGCGCCGCCTGTGGGGATTTCTATAGCTGAAATCATAGTTTCCATCTAGATTCTTGAAAGCAATAATCATTTTTTCCTCAGCTTCATAAAAACCAGCGATGGCGGGAAAGGGAGAAGCGAGGCTAAAGGCAGTAGTGGATGTCACGAACAACCTCCTGAATTCCCTTAACGAAGCCAGCGGAGAAGACAATGAGAATGCAACAACAAGTGTTACACCGGAGGGGGAGATCTCACCTCCTCCTCACGGGGATCTGACGATCTTGCGCGAGAGGGTAACATCAACCTCCACAGCAGGAGAAGCGCCACCAGCAGTCAAAAGGCTACTGGAAGAATGGTTAACGAGTGCCTTGAGCAACATGCTCGAGAAACCCATTCAGGGAGGCATCAAAAACGCGCCACCCACAGAAATCGCAGCTGCTGCCGATGAGCCAAATGCTACACGAACAGGTAATACCCGTACTATTACTGATGCAGGTGACAACGCACTTATGGCCATCTTAAAGAAAATGGAAGAGATGGAAAATGAGAACAAAATACTCCGCGACCAGATGAAGGAACATCAGGAAAGGATCAATAAAATACCAGGCGCTCCGAAGCTGTTACTAAAACGCGATGTCAGCCGATTCGTCGAACAGCCGTACAGAGAAGAGGCAGCTCCCCATTCTATTCTGAAAACCTTCAAAATGCCGCCATACTTGAAAATATACGACGGGACCACGGACCCGGAGGACCACTTAATCCATCACGTTACCGCAATGAAGGATAATGATCTATCAAAAGAACAAGTACCGTCTGTGCTGCTGAAAAATTTCGGCGAAACTCTCACGGGGGGGAGCATTGACATGGTATTCCCAACTACCAGCACGATCGATATCCACGTTTGAGGAGATGGCTGGTAAATCCGCTACCTCTCACGCGGGAGCGAAGAAGGCCGAGGCTAGGGTTGATGATATCTTCGCCATCAGGCAAACTAGGGGCGAGGACTTCGGGATTTCCTAGCACGATTCAACAGAGTAAGGATGAGCCTAACGAACGTGTCAGAAGGGATGACAGTAACAGCCTTTCAAAATGGGTTAAACAGGAACGGATCAAAGGCAACTAAAAAACTACCCAGTAGACTTATGAAGTACCCCCCCCCCCACCACGTGGGAAGAAATCCACAACGCCTATTGCGCCGAAGTGAGGGCAGACGAGGATGACCTGAATGGCCCGCTTCAGCGATTAATGTCAGTCCATACCAAAACAAGGAGAGATCGATGCAACGATGGGCAAAGGGATCAATTACCATGTTTTAATCGAGAAAGGCATCAACCCTATATCCGGGCATCCAATCCTCCACCTCCTCGACATGCAGATGCCGCGCCTCGGCATATCGCACCCTCCCAAAATGAAAAAGGTATGCCTCCATTACTATCTGCTCATAATTTTTGTGTTTCCCCCTCAGAAATAGTGTACGCACTGGAGAAGCTCGGCACGAAGGTGCAGTGGCCGCAAAAGATGAAGTCGGACCCAAGCACAAGGAAGTCAAACGTCCTGTGTGAGTTCCATCAGGAAAGGGGACACAAAACCGAGGACTGCATAGGTCTGCGGCAGGAAGTAGTAAGGATGTTAAATCAGGGATACCTGAAAGAACTGTTGAGCGACAGAGGACGAGCCAACTTCGCTCGAGGGCGCGATCAACCTCAAGGACCTCCAAAGCCACCATCACCAGCTCGTACCATACAAATGATCATTGGCGGCGGCGATGACACGGTAATCAACCATGTAAAATTCACCACCACACATAAGCTCAAACGGACAGTCGCCCACGAACGGTACGACGACCTCGAAGATAGTATCATCTTCGATAAGTCAGATACCGACGGTTTGTCTTTCCCTCACTATGATGCTTTGGTTATAACTTTACGCATCACGGATACTGATGTAAAAAGAATAATGGTGGATGACGAAAGCGGCGCGTGTATTATTCACCCACGAGTTCTCATGCGAATGAGGATCGAGGATAAAATAATACCGCGTTGCATAACACTAACGGGTCTTAATAATGCAGTAGAGCGGACGTCTGGAGAAATAGTGCTACCTGTCCTGGTAGGAGGGGTTACCCTAGAAACAACATTCCACGTCATGAACCGGGAAACGACCTACAATGCCATCATAGGACGACCATGGATACACACCATGCGAGCCGTCCCTTCAACCTTCTATCAAGTGATCAAATTTCCCACCCCATAGGGGATATTCAGCATCCGAGGCGAGCCACGTACCGCCCAAGAATTCTACCGGATCGCCCAAGATTGCACACACACCAAACAACTAAAAGGGGCAATTGCGGAAGCATAGCAATCAGCCATGTCGGAACCAAACCCGACACACAAGTAGAGGCCATCAAAGACTCGGACGTCGTAGAAGCTTGCAAGGCAACCATAGAAGATCTCAATCCCATCCAATTGGATGACACCGATAGCAGAAAAAAAGCTTATGTTGGACACAACCTCTCGGAGCCAGGTAAGTATCGAGAGTTTTTGGCTAACAACGCCGATTTGTTTGCTTTTTCCCACTCAGATATGCCAGGAATCCCAAGGTATATCGCCACACACAGGTTGAATGTCGATCCGCTTTATCCGCCGGTATGGCAAATGAGGAGGAAGTTCAATGCCGCGATCAATGAGGCGGTCAGCGAGGAGGTTGACAAGTTACTCGCCAACGGTTCCATCAGAGAATCGGAATACCCCCAATGGGTCGCCAATGTGGTCATGGTCAAAAAGAAGAACGGGAAATGGCGAATGTGTGTCGACTTCACCGATCTAAACAAAGCATGCCCGAAGGACTCTTTCCTACTACCTCACATCGACCAACTTGTCGATGCAACAGCTGGGCACGAACTGCTGAGCTTCCTGGACGCCTACTCCGGTTATAACCAAATTCTAATGGCTGAAGAAGATCAAGAAAAGACCACTTTCATCACCCACCGAGGAACGTACTGCTATAAGGTGATGTCATTCGGGATTAAGAATGCAAGGGCCACGTATCAAAGGTTAGTCACCAAAATGTTCAAAGAACAACTCGGTAAGACAATGGAGGTTTACATCGATGACATGCTAGTGAAGTCGACAAATAAAGAGGGTCACATTGGTCACTTGAAGGAAGCCTTCGAGATATTAAGGCAGTACGGGATGAAATTAAATCCCGAAAAATGCGTGTTCGGCGTAACTTCAGGAAAGCTCCTTGGTTTCCTAGTGTCACAAAGGGGAATCGAGGTCAACCCGGATCAAATCGGGGCCATTGATGCAATACCGGAGATACTGACCAGCAAAAAGCATGTGCAGAAATTAACAGGGCGAATAGCCGCCCTATCAAGGTTCATTTCATGATCGTCGGATAGATGCCATAAATTTTTCAATGTGCTAAAGAAAGACCACGGGCTGCAATGGAACGAAGAATGCATCGACGCCCTGAGAAAACTGAAAACGTATCTATCCTTGCCACCACTACTCGTCAAAGCGGACCCAGGTGAATGTCTACTTGTGTATCTAGTAGTTTTCGAAGTTGCGGTAAGCGCAGTCTTGGTCCGTAAAAGTAAAGGTACGCAATCTCCGATTTACTATATCAGCAGAACTTTAATCGATGCCGAAACAAGGTACTTTCACCTTGAAAAACTAGCTTTGGCATTAGTCGTAGCTTCACGGAAGCTTAGACCGTACTTTCACTGTCATCCCATAAAGGTGGTGACAACCTTCCCCCTAAGAGGTATCCTGCACAAACCCGAACTATCGGGTACTAGCCAAGTGGGCTATAGAACTAAGCGAGCACGACATAATGTACCAACTACGAACTTCCATTAAGTCGTAGGTGCTCGCCGACTTCGTCGCTGACTTCAGCACGGAAATATTGCCCGAGGTAGAACAGAAAGCACTCCGCACTTCCACACATACCGACCTCTGGTTCCTCTACACCGACGGTGCCTCTAATGCCTCAGGATCGGGACTGGGACTCGTCCTCGAGGTCCCTACAGGCGAAGTAATTCGCCAGTCCATACGATGCCCCGAGATGACTAACAACGAGGCCGAGTATGAAGCTGTGATTGCAGGTTTAAAGTTAGCCCTCAAATATGGCGCTCGACGACTCGTCCTCCACTGTGACTCTCAACTCGTGGTGAACCAAGTCACCGGGACTTTCCAAATCAAAGAGCAGAGACTACAAAGATACCAGTCGGAAATCCACAAACTACTGCCAGAATTCGACGAATGCCGCCTCGACCAAATACCCAGGGCACAGAATATCGAAGCAGATGGCCTCGCTAAACTAGCTGCGGCCACCAAGAATATCAACAAGGAAAACATGGTCACCCTCTTTCATTCTGCAATAGACCACGTCGAGGTACATTCTGTAAACTTAACTTGGGACTGGCGTAACCGCTTCGTAGCCTATTTGCAGGATGGAACGCTCCCGCAAGATAAAAAAGAAGCCAAAAACTTCGGGTGTAGGCAGCCCGATACAGCCTAGTAAACGGTGATCTCTACAAAAGAACGTTCGGCGGCCCCCTAGCCAAATGTCTTGGGCCACATCAAACAAGGCGCGTACTGGAAGAAGTACACGAAGGGCACTACGGCGCCCACACGGGAAACCGCACCCTCGTCTGATGCCTCATCCGCGCCGGGTACTACTAGTCTACCATGAAAATAGAAGCCGCCGACTATGTCAAGAGATGTGAACAATGTCAAAAGTACGCCCCTATGATACATCAAGCAAGGGAACTCCTTCATTCCGTCACTTCACCATGGTCATTCATAAAGTGGGGAATGGACATAGTCGGCCCCCTCCCAGCAGGACGAGGTAAGGTATGCTTCCTTTTGGTTTTAACTGATTACTTTTCTAAATGGGTGGAAGCAAGTGCATACACTCAGATACGTGAGCAGGAGGTCATCGCATTCATATGGAAAACATAATATGCCGTTTTGGCATCCCCAAAGAAATTAGCTGCGACAACGGACCTCAGTTCATCGGAAAGAGAACGACTGAGTTTTTCGAAAAATGGCACATCAAACAAATACTCTCCACGCCATATCACCCTACTGCCAATGGTCAAGCTGAATCCTCCAATAAAGTAATACTGAATATATTGAAAAAGAAGCTTGAGGATGCCAAAGGGCTATGGCCTGAACTGCTATCGGAAGTATTATGGGCATACCGCACTACGCCAAAAACTAGCACAGGAGAAACGCCATATTCACTAGTCTACGGGACTGGCGCAGTTATACCCATCGAGGTCGGGGAACCTAGTTTGAGGTACTCCAATGAGAGCGGACCAAGCAACGACGAAAGTAGGCTACAAGATCTGGATGAGGTCGAAGAAAGGAGAGACATGGCCCACATAAGAATGGTAGCCCAGAAGCAGCAAGTAGAAAGATACTACAACAAGAGAGGCAAGGTGCGACCGCTCAAAGTCGGAGACTACGTCCTCAAGGCTAAAACATAAGCATCAAAAGACCCTAATGAGGGAAAATTGGGGACAAACTGGGACGGACCATACAAAATCATAGCTGCAGCAAACAAAGGAGCATTCCAGTTAGAAACAATGGAGGGAAAGATACTCCAAAACAACTGGAACGTCGCCCATCTCAAGTACTTCCACTTCTAAAAGAAGGCGTCACCTAAGTCGTACTCTTTTTCCCTCACTCGGGTTTTGTCCCAATCGGGTTTTTCCGGGGAGGTTTTTAACGAGGCGGCAAGGGAGATACCTCAAGGATCGACGAGTTTTTCATTACCTCGACCCATCGATATGATCTCCGGAGCAAAGTAATGAAGGGACTACATATAGATAATCAAATCTCCATTGTATGTATAGAATCAAATCTCCATTGTATGTGCAGAATCAAATCTCCATTATATGTGCAGAACCAAATCTCCATTAGTCGACATGTGACATCTTCCTATGGGAACACGATCAGATCTCCAAAAAATGGCCAAGGCCATCGACGACAAAATGAGTTCGACCTCGTTCGAACTACGACGGGATCCTACTTCGACTACAGTTCGAAGCAACATCCCAATGGCCAAGGCCATCGACGACAAAATGAGTTCAACCTTGTTCGAACTACAACGGGATCCTACTTTGATGACAGTTCGAAGCAACATCCCAATGGCCAAGGCCATCAACGACAAATTGAGTTCTACCTCGTTCGAACTACGACAGGATCCTACGTCGACGATAGTTCGAAGCAACATCCCAATGGCCAAGGCCATCGACGACAAAATGAGTTCGACCTCGTTCGAACTACGACGGGATCCTACTTCGACGACAGTTCGAAGCAACATCCCAATGGCCAAGGCCATCAACGACAAAATGAGTTCGACCTCGTGCGAACTACGACGGGATCCTACTTCGACGACAATTCGAAGCAACATCCCAATGGCCAAGGCCATCGACAAAAATACGAGTTCGACCTCGTTCGAACTATGACGAGATACCGCTTCGACGACAGCTCAAAATAACATCCCAATAGCCAAGGACGTCAACGATATCATGGGTTCGATAAATGCAAGAAAAAACAAGTCGACGAAGTAAACTTTACATTACAACAAAATATTATTTACACTTGCCCCTACAAACGGGCTCAAGCATGCCCCGCGCAAAAACCCCTAAACAAAAGCAGGTACAAACAAAGACTACACATCATCTCCGATGGGGTAAGCATCTTCATACCACGAATCTGAAGCATGGCGGTTCTCATCATCAGAGTTAATATCATCCCCGTCAGGTGTGAGGGGGTCGTACCCGCATGCCTCACGAGTTGCATGAGCTTCGGTACGCACAGCCTAAAACTCCGCCTCAGTAGCCCTTCCCTCGGCGTGAAAATCCTTATACACATCAAGCCGAGCCTCCGTGTGGACCCACAACTCGTATAAATGACGGGGCACGACCGGATCGGCTAAGGCACGATACGTAGAAGGCTGAGAATGACGATTTGCATCCTCTGCCCTCAGCGAGGCCATTTGTCCATTTAGTGCAGCCAGCTCCGCCTCTAGCTCTTCGACACGCCCTTCGAGCCCTGCAACCTTACGACCAGAGGCTTCCTTCTCTTCAGCCAGCTCCGACCTACAAACGCAGTGGGCACTCTCCAAAGATGCAGTTCCAGAGATAGCTACCGCCAACTTATCAGTGTCGACGCTCAGCTCGCCTTTAAGCCCCTCTACCTCTGCTGCCTTCGCGCTCAGCTCAACAGTCAAACCGGCCACCCTTGCCTGCAAGTCGGCATTTTCAGCCATCACCCCCTAGCTCAACTCAAGCTCGTCGTTCTTTACCTTGAGGGAAGCCTCGAATTCACTGTTACGAGCGACAGCTTTCATGAGCTCCTCATCCCGCTCCCTCAACTCTTCCATCTTACGCTCCAATTGGTCCTCCCGCTGTTTGAGCCCCTCGCGAAACACCTGGAACTCAAGTCCTGATGATAAATGTCGGCCATCGCCCGATGCTTAGCACGATACTACTGATATTTGGACGGCATCTTCTCATAAAGACCCGTCCTCCTCCTCTCTCGGCGCTCTCTCTCAACCTCCATGACGAGGGTCTGGCAAAAAAAAGAGAAGGGGAAAAGTTAGAAACGAAATGCAGAACGACGATCACCGCATAAACCCAACGACGAAAAGGGAAGAAAAGGCACCTACCTGCAGGGCCATACCAGCGACCTTCTGAGACAACTCCACGTCGCTCATCTCCCCAAGCATCTCGCTTTCAGGAGCGACACATAGAGGAGCTAGGGCAGAGGCAACTTGCTCACTGTTCACCAACAAGTTGTAGTCCCCTGGGACGACTATATGACGGTCAGATCCGTCCATTCTAACCTCCACATGGGTATGGCGACCCAAGAACTCATTGACATCCCCTGGGTCGATATCCGAACCTGAGCCATCACCCTCAACACGACGTCCTCCAACGTTGGACGACGCACCACCCTCAACAGAGCGCACTGAGCCGACTCCTAAGTAAACTCCTTCCACTTGGGGAGATCTCCCCGATAAAATGGCGTCAGCCATAAAAACAGGCACAGGGCTGTCTGCGACGCCCTGCTTCTATCAGCGTCCGTGGCCACGCCCTTCCCAAGTTCCAGCCTCCTTCTCTTTCTCGACAACGGCTCGTCCCCATTTGAAGATTCACCCAAATAGTGTGAGGCCGGCACCAAAGAGGCCTCTTCCCTCACGGCCACGACTCGAGATGGACCTTCCAATTGAATAGGTTGAGGACGACCCTCTCGAACAGACTCACTCAAAACAAACTGCGTATCTGTAGTAGCAGCGGCTTGACGAAAGGCAGGGACTGGCGCCCTTCGCCTGGAAGCTCCTCGACCTGTCATCACAAAGGGTCGTACCATTAAATAAGGTCGCGCGACCAACGAAGTAGTAAGTTAGACAGTTACCAGAGGGAACTTTGGGGCCGTAACGCTTCATGAAGGCGGGCCAATCCCGAGTTTCTGCTGCATGAGGCAACAGACGGGCCACCCAATCCCTGATATCTGCGATAGGGTGAGGCGGATGGCCCATAGCTGCAAACGGCAAGCAAACAAACTTTACAATGAATACAGAAGAAAGCGGAATAAAAGGAGCGGCAACACTTACAAGCCTCGTTCCATCGCTCTGGGAATTTGGCGGAATCAGAAACGACGTGCTCGATTTTGACAATGAAGTACTTGTGCCAAAACTTACGGCTTGCCAGGTCATCCGTCCCGACCACCAGCCCTTTCGTGCCACGAAGCCTCAAATGCACCATGGTACCCCTGAGGAAGCCAGGCGTGAACAGGTGCAAAAGGTGGTGGACAGAAACGTTACACTCCGCCAACTCTGCATACTTGGTCAATAGCAGAAGTACCTTGAGCGTGTATGGCGAAAGTTATGTTGGACAAACTTGGTAGAATCTACAGAATTCTTCCGCTAAGGGGAAGAGAGGAAGAGTATAGCCAATCATAAAAGGGTACTCATAGAAAGTGCAGTACCCAGGTCTGTGGACATCCATATAATCTCTCCCCGCCGGAACCATCTCTATATGAGCGGGAATGCCACACTTTATACGAAGGGCATCGATATGAACTGACTCCCTCTCAGAGAATACGGGGTTCGGGGTAGGAGGGAGAACTTTGAGGAGGTCACTCCGGGATAAGGGGTGTTTCGGTAGTAATTCCTCCACCGTAGGAGGGATGTCACTCTCTTCTACCATCGTATCTTCGCCGCCAGAAGGGGGCGCCGTGGACAACGGGGTGGTTTCAGGAACCTCTTCACGAGAACGACGAGACCTCGGCATAATATCGTTCAAAGGAATATTAACACAGAATGAAGAAGGAAGAAGAATCTTCAAACGAAGAACGTAAGAAGAAATAGAAGGATATGAGAGCAAATGAGGAAGGGTGAAAGAAGTTGTCAAAAGTGAAATGGCTACTGTTTTTCGAAAAAACAAATCCTTCACCTATTTATAAGGTTGGGTGGCGCCAGAATCGAGGCGGAAGGTTCCAAAGCAGCGCAAGAATCGAAGCATCAAGCCGTCAATCCCTGCCTTGAAAACCTGCGTAATGATGACGCACGTGAAGCTGACATCATTTCCCGGTAAAGTGTATCACTCGGTATTTTGCTGAACACATTGACCATCTTTCGTTGGCCACGTCGTAACGTTTCAACGGATCAAATTTCTCCATAAGAAAGCATGAAGTCCGCTCATCGAGGACGCATCCGGTCGTAACCCCGACAAGCGGAGGGACTAACTGTATGGGTCCAAATTTGACCGACCACGACGTGCGACGAAGTACGACAAACGACCGGATATCTTCGAGTCGATGTCCCGAGGGAGACGACCTTAGGGCAAAAGAATAGACTGTACGACCCTTGTAATAGTGTAAGCCCATTAGGGGACGTTAGGAATATTCCGCCGAATATTCCTTGTATTTTGTTTCTTACAATTTAAAAGAGTTTCTCTCTAGTATAAAAGGGGGACAGTAACCATGTAACAGGGCATCTAAACTCGGGGAAAATGAATATTTGAGAACGAAAAGAAACTTATTGACGATCATCTCTCTACCTATTACTTCTTCTAGAGTTTATTATACTCAACTAAGATTTACCCCTTCATCTTTGATTGATTTGTTCAAAAAGGTTTTAATATCTTTTGAGTCAAACAGTCAACAACAATTTTTTTTGTCTGAAATCTATGTTCCTTTTTCTTGTTTGAGGTAAGCTGAACAATATAAAGATTAAGGATGGTGTAATATAAGTTAATCCTAGTGTTAGTAAGAACAAGTAATATGAAGTCAAAATTTAAGATTGTTGTAAGAATAAATGACGTCTGCCAATAAATGAGGTAATCACTTTATTCTTTTTGATAAAACATATTTTTCAAGGCAACTAAATACCAGAAAATAATTTTATCGTAAAAAATATTTTATTTTAAAATGACTTTCGTTATTATCCGATACACAAAAAAACTGAAAAGAAAATAAGAAAAGAAAAATTAACCGAAATAGCAACCGCTTAAACTAAAATATAACCGGCTATTTATGTAAAGATCCTTGTTACGCATTAATTAAACATGTGTACAATATATAAGAAATTTCTTTTGAACCCTTATGGTCTTAAACATGTAATCTCATTCTTAAAAGAAAGTATCATCAAAATTAAGATAGAAATATTAGAACTATAGTTTTCAGAGCAGTATAAAAAATGGTCAATCTATTTAGAACAAATAAACAAAAATGTCATATAAAATGGAACTTAGAGTAATTTATTTTTTGACTAAAATGAAATGAAAAAATTTGAGATTCTTAGGACATTCCGGGCATTGAATATTACTTCGATTTTTCTAATACTGATGTTTGAATATTTTCAGGTACTAATTTGAATATTTATATTTGCAAATACTGAACTTCACTCGTAAGTTTTTCTTCAAAATTTCTTCATTCCGTGTTTACCTTAAGTCTGTTTATTTTTCTCATTCTGGACAAGTGTAGGAAGGTCCAAATTTCAAGGGTAATTAATTTGTCTTGTAAAATCTTCCCAAACATCCTCTCCCTCACCCCCCACAAAGCTGAACTCCGGTGGACTGCCGTAGAAGGAAAATAGACTTTCTGTCTGACGAATTGAAATCTTGGCAGAGTTCAAAGAAATCACCAGCAGGTAAGATTGTTGATTTAAGATGCTCTAGAGTGTGTCGAAGTTGGTATAATGCGAAAATGTCATCTAGACGAGAATTTTTTTTTAACAAAAATGGAATGGTTTTTGATTCAAAATTTAAGCTCATTGTGTAGTTTGTCAGGGTTGAAGATTGGCTAAGAGCTGTCCCACATCGGAGCATTAACCTATCTCACTGCTGTCCACTAGTTTGTCGGGCTTGATGTTTGCGGTAGGAGTCCCACATCGACGCACTGACTTATCAATATGTTGTTTATAGCGACATTCACTACAGCTGAAGGGCACGACCTTACTTGAACAGGATCTGTTCTATAGTCTCGTACCATTGTATCCTTGAGATCTAAGGAGACAGAAAACTAAGTCTGGTTGATGAGGCGTGGCTATGAGGCTAGAGCGTGATTAACAGCCTTCCATGGTCACTTCTGTGGCCTTGGAGCAGTAGAGGATCGTTCTCAGCTCTGCCTGCAGGTCTGGGATGGTCTCATAGCTGTCTGACAGACTTCAAATCTTTTTGGTTCCTCTTTCTTTCCTTCTTCGATGCCTAAGTGCTCTTTTTACTTCGGGACAAGATTAGACCTAAACCAAGTAATGAGACACATGCATTCTGAATAAAGGCCAACTTCCAGTTGTCTCAATTCACTTGCACTATGTACACCAAATGATGTGCAAATATGAGGGTGAAATTCAAGGTGTGAAGCTGGGATCATTTAACCATTGATTTGTTCCTGATTAATTAGCAGGCCATGCCCTCCCAGTAAAGACTGACTTTTGTTCTTGGCTGCTACACTTAAAGCTACACCAGTTTAACAACATTGGCAGTGCCTTTTCCACCAAACTCTCCTTTAATCACTTTGATAGTGTTTGAAGACATTGATTCACCCCAACTCTGAAACGGCAACCTTATTGTCTATTTCCTAGTACACTGAAGTGGTTCTAAATCTAAGTAATAAGCAATGAGAGTGTTTATTGAAAGAAAACAAACATCTGGGTCAGAGTATTATAAGTGTAAAGCACAAGACGACACGCTTGGACATGATTTGATTGAGTTTTTTTTTTATTGTTTTTTTAAATAAACATTTAAAGTTAATGTTGAAGGTTTGCATGTGAAAATTTTGAAAAACATCTACAAACTGTATTTTGAAGTTGAAATAAATGCGCATTTGCCACATCTATCTCAAAGTCGAACTTCAGCACTATCTGCTTCCTTTTCTGGTTGCATTTTAGGGCTACTCATCNTAGAAAGCAAAAAAAAAAAAAAAAAAATACAGAGAGAGGCCTTTGTCTTTGATACTACAGTTAGGTGCGTAATGGTATTTTGTACCCGAAAGGTTGACTAGAAATTAATCCAAACTGGAAGTTTGTCACTGTCGACTAAACAACTTGCCTTGTACCTTCACCAAAAAAATAAGACTTGCCTTGTGAATTCTTGGTATTTTTGAACTCTCAAATAAAGTAGTATTTCAGTGCAGTTTCTTTGAACTAAGCATTTCCAGTCAAAGCGTCAAAATATGTAAATCGAGTAAAGGTAATATGCAAAAGTAATAATCCATATCTATCACGTTGCTGTAAGCCATTACGTTCTAACCATTGTTACTTTCAAGCCCCTTTATTTGACAAAAGCGGGCAGAACCTTCTAAGCTTGATGATAAGGATTGCTTTGCACAATTATTTGATGTTGGCATACCACACCCTGGTAACGATACAAAGAATATGTCCACATGCCTAACCTACAGATGAACAGAAAATAACAGCACAAATTGCACTTTTATTAGCGACTCCCTGATAGCCAAGCATCATTACAAGAACAAGTGAGGAAAAACTGCCAACAACTGGATACTGGCATATGAAACCTCAGCATTTTACCGGCAATACTGAGGAAGACATCCCTTCTTGAGAATGTATTGAAATTACAAAAATACACACACAGCACTGAACTAATTCACAACTCACGTATCTTCATCCTTTACAGCTTTGAAGCTGCAGCCTTGTCCAAAAACCAAACCAATTCTCCTTCAGGTGAAACCATCTGCACGGGCAACAAATCAGAACTTTCACTATCACATAGCGATTTATGCACTACATCTGCCTTCCCAGCACCTGCTACAACAAGAGCGATATTCGCGGATGAGTTTATTACAGGAAATGTAAATGTAATCCTTTCCGGTGGAGGTTTTGGGGACTCCTTGATGAAGGTGACCCATTTTTCTGTCTCATGGACAAGAGGATGCCCGGGAAATAAGGAAGCTACATGCCCATCGGGACCCATACCCAATAGCATCACATCAAATTTTGGAAATCCAGTAGCATCAGATATGTCTACAATCTTGCTCTTAACCAAGTGTCTTAGACAAGTCTCATAATCATCTGCCGCACCCTCTGCTGATAGTGCATCGTTTATCGCATACACATTGCCACTAGGAATAGGTATCTGCCCAAGAGAAAGAAGAGGTGAGCCTAAAAGCTCAGTAAATAGAATTAAGACGTGAAATGAGAAAAGTTAAGATGTAAGGAGAAGAATGATGAAGTAAGAGCTAATTCATCATTCTTAATAAGATCAAACCACTTAGGCAGTTTTGTTTGACTATTATGAACAATTCGTAATCTAAAAGATGCTCTCAGCAGCCATGCATCTCTGAAGTCTTTTCCGAAAAGAATTTGGTAATTTAGTTTGTAATCATCTTCATTTCAAATAGTCTGTAGCTTTGGAGATGCCAGATAAGATGGCAGAGCTCAGAGCTCAAATAGTTACCGAAGAGCCTTTCACTGAAAGTGTATAGGCCAAGATTGAGGATATATTTCAAACCCGCTTAAATCATACTAAGCTGGAGTTAAGCAAAGTCAACATAAGTTCAAACTGAGCTTATCAGCAAGTCTACATGGTACTGAGTGAGGGCAATTTTGCTCATTGAACTTCCAAACGTGTCAATTGTGCTTAAGCTATTCACTTACTTTTCAGCCTCTAGACTTTACCCCCACTAAACTACTCTACTAACAGAAATGTCCAAAGCAATATCCTTTAGTTTAAAGTAGGTAAGGTTACAATGGTAGATGTTTGAAGTATTTTGCTAATACGACATTGTCTCTCATATTAAGTTCCACATGAAAGAGGGAAAAAGAAGAGGCACCTCAGACATTGTTTAGAAGTCATTCATGGAAGGGCTTCAAGGATTGACATTATTTCTCATATTAAGATCCACATGAAAGAGGGAAAAAGAAGAGGGACCTCAGACATTGTTTAGAAGTCATTCATAGAAGGGCTTCAAGGATTGAATTGACAAGTTCTTTATATCAAGATTTTACGGATACGCTGCGCAGGCCAAAAGTAAAATTTGATGTTATCTATTCTGACTTCTCTTCTTTTTGTACAGTGTACAGTTTCTTTTTTCAAATTCTTTATATATTGCCTCTTTACATGAATCACATAATGTTACCATGTATTCCAGAGGATGTCATTTAAAACTTATTTGGCATATCCAGCTTATCCAAAAAATTGGTTTATGATATCTTGTGTACCATTTGCTCTTTTTTTTGGTGCATTAAAAAGAGAGTATTTAAATGACACCCTCACCCCACCCCCTCCAAGAAAAAAGAAAAAAAACCCACATAGGTAAATTTGGTTTTTTTTGATTCATTATAAAGAGACTATTCAAATGACAGCTCCCACCCCCTTAACATAACACACGTGAAAATTAAAAAATCCAAAGATGTTTTGGTGATGAAAATAGTTTAAAATTTGATCTTGCTAAACACGGTTGCTTTTATATCAAATAAAAAGAGAGGGAATTAGTCTTTAAAAGGGAACGAAGTTGAAGATTTGATCTTGCTAAACAGTGTTGATTAACGGTCAAGTTTGCACAATAGCTTTGCACATGATTAATCAAGAGCCCAAAAAATAGCGTCAAGCTACAAGGAGCAAAAGCCAAATGGCCACATCCCAAGGAAGTGAATAGGGGTATCAGTAATAGGGGTCAGGTTTGTTTAGCATACCAAAGGCATTTCCCCTACACAACACCCATACAATAACAAAAAACAAAAATATACTCAGTATATTCCCACAAGTGGGGTTTGAAGAGGGTAGTGTGTACGCACACCTTACCCCTACCTTGTGCAGGTAGAGAGACTGTTTCTGAAAGAGTCTCGGCTTAATAATAATTTACCAATAAGCTTTTGGCGAGCAATCATTTTGCCCCGTATGACAATTGGTTCTTCCTTTCTCCTACTTTCGCAATAGCCCTTTTTTTTTTTTTTTTTGATAAGGTGAAGTATTACTTTCGCAATAGCCCGTTGCAATGCATTTTTTCTTTATGACTGAAAACAATAATAGAAATTGTGTAACTCTTAAAAATGTGAGAAAGCAAACAGCCTACACTCCACCTCCTGCCCCAAGCAATAGAAGGACAAAGGGGACCATCTGCATTTGGCTCTATCAAAGAACAAGTTGAGTCTGGTTGCAGCTTAGGATATCACTCTCTTTTGGATTTTGGAATATTAGAAGTTGGTGGATCAATGAACAGAATCTTGAGTGTGCGTCTCTTAAGTTTCTACCTCAGCGAGATCTCTCGAAACTCGCATGATCCTAGTAGTAACTTTTTTTTCCTTTTGATCAAGATGATCATAGTACTAACGTGTTAGGGCAATATTTAGTATTTGATCTACTATGCTGAGACAATGCACAAAATGTATTAACAACAAGAAATCTGCTGGAAAATACAAGGAAAAAGATAAAAAATAAATATTAATTTATTAGCAGATAAACAATAACGTGAGTCATGCTAGATATTGTCCTAAGAAATAACTTTCCATAGGATTATACAACCCTTCCAAGGAAACATGAACAACAAATTTAAATAACCACCAGCAAGTCATGAACGGAAAAGAAGAAAAGATCGAGCAGCTAGTGTTTGTAGGGATATCAATAGCAGAGAAAATAAGGCTATTATTATAATGGAGTAATAGTTAGCAAATTATTGATATGTTATGATGAAGCCATAAAGAATGTCAATTTTTGGTGTGCTCACATGGATTAAAAATGTGATTAGCTATTTATAGGATGAGAATAAGTCTCTAATAATGACAATTGACAAGTGTCATCCCACTAGTCCATAACTTTACATACATGAATCCACTTAGCTAATTCACTTAAATGTTTGTCCATAAACTCTCATGCATAAAACCACTTAGCTAATCTACTTAACCATTTGTCTATAAATTCTTATGCATAGAGCCACTTAGCTAAAATATTATTGAAATATTGCCAACAATCCCCCACATATTTCGAAAGATTTTTAAAGAGCAAAGAGTAAAACTTGCTGGATTTGTGGGGTCCAATTGCAATCTATTTCTAGCAATCACTGATAGCTCACTCATGTGTTGTCATGATACAAATAGCACCAAGTCATGATAGCACCATACCCAATTTGTTAGGCGAACCAACCAACACGAATACAACTCAAGCGAGCGGCACATGGATTTGGATTCATCCTTCAGGAGGCACGTGATTACCCATGTTACATTGGATTGTGTGTGTGCAGGTTGTGAGAAACTGACTAGTTTTTAGTTCGTTTGAGATATGAGATCTGATTGTTGAGTTTTGAGCATAAAGGTGGAAGCTATTGATGTCTTTTGGACTATGAACCAAACTTAGACCGATAAAATTTGACTCATACAATTATTATTGTTGAAATATAATATTTATATGACCAATAATTCTTAATTGTAAGTCATTAATTTCATCAATCACATTTTGACCCCTACACTTATGGTGTTCAACGCGATTTTGCGCGAATAAGCCACACATGTGCTTGATTATTCATGAGAACTCTAAAGATTTGATCAAAATCTTATAGGAGTGGCCCCCCTCCACTCTCATATAGGTGAATTCATCAAGCGTGTACTGCTTTAAATACAAATCCAACAAGTTCTACTCTTTATTCTTGATCTTTTTTTTGAAATATGTGAGGGATTGTTAACAATATTACAACAATATTTTAGCTAAGTGGCATCATGCACGAAAGCTTATGGACAAATAGCTAAGTAGATTAGCTAAGTGGTTTCATGCATGGGGTTTATGGACAAATGGTTACATGGGTTAGTCAAGTGGCTTCACGCATGGTAATTATGGACAAGTGCATCACGCTTGGCTTGTCATGATTCGAGGCTTATTCTCATCCTGTAAATAGCTAATCATACCCCCATATTTAATGCATCCAAACACACCAAAAATGGGCCTTCTTTTGGCTTCACCACGACACAACAATAATTACTAATTATTACTCTATTATATACCTACTCTCTCTAGCCTAATTTTCTCCGAAATCAATATCCGTATAAACACCAAGTTGTTATATCTTTTATTCTTTTACATTCGTAAGTCATAACTTGCAGGTTGTTATGAAGTCTTGTTGTTCCTATTCCCTATGATAGAAGAAGGCTTGTTTAATTTTCTGAAACTTTGAAACATTCATTTTGGCAGGGAGCGCCAAATCTTTAGTCCTCGCTAATGCATTATCAGGACTCTCTTATTTACTGTCTTAAGCCAAGACATTGCATTCCCAGTTACCACTGGCCTCAACTCCTGACATAATTAGTTTTTCATCTGATTTTCCAAATCTTTCATCCGTTGTGAATGGTAAGCTTAATAACTACAAGTGTATTCCATCAATTCTCCGATAGAACCATAAAGGCAGCTTGATTTTTTTTTTTAAAAGATGAAAAATAAAACACCATAAAGGGCAGTTCACCCTGTTGAAGTTACCATCACACTCTTTTTGTAGAAACTCAAACAATTAATACAGATCTTCGTTCAAACATGGGGGAGCACCTGTACAACAAACTACCACTATGTATGTTCATATACAGAGGAGATAACAGATAAGCAAAAAGGGTCCTGGAGATATCACATAGTATGGCACCATTAGAATCAATACATAGTATAAAGACACAAATACCTTGGATAGAAAAGCATCATAAGCAAGCAAATAATTGCTATCCGGATGGTCCTTTGGAACCACTCTTTCATCCACCCAGAAAACGTGCCACTTCGACCAATCTATTGAATCAATATATGGTGGCTCCACCAATTTCCTGCACTTTGCAACAAACAGAAGCATAACAAACATAAGCAACCAACCGCCAAAGCCATCCGAAAAACACTACAAAGAGAATAAGCAATTACCTAAGAGATTTGATAAGTGAACCCCCGGAAACAACAACAGAAAAAGAACCTCTCTCTTTGCAAAACTTCTCCGATAAATCAGCTGTGTACTTCGCAAGAGACACGGCAAGTTCCTCTTCAGAATCAAACACTTCTACTTTCCCTTTACTTTTCCCTGTCACAGTCTCAGCCATTGATGATTTAGTTGTAAACTGAGATTTCGATGAGTTTGTACTCAATACTGAGATTCTCCTATGTGAGCGCGAGCAAAAAAGTGACTTGCCAATAATAGATGCAGAGGTCAACGGCAGAGATCGGCGGAGAGGAGAGAATCGGGTAGGTGAGATGCGCAAGTTAGCAGAGAGAGCGCGAGAAGAAGAGGGTAAGCGCACTGCGCACTCTGTCATTATATAGGAACGGAGAGTGCGAAAAGACTGGTCCACCGGCGACTGTGAAAGAAAGAGCTTAACGTGCTAGAGCTTTTAGGGTAGGTGAGTACCTGGGGCGTGGCATTCGATGAAAGGTAGGGATCAGTGACTGGCACGTGTGCTACTGTCTTTTAATTTGGAGTGTGCTTGGAAAGCCACCAAGTAATTGAAATTGTAGTAATTACAAATTATGTGTAATTATGACGACATGTTTGTTTGTCATAGTCTAATTATAAATTTACTGTTTGGTTGTACAAGTATAATTACACGGTTAGATTAAATTTTAAATTAAGTAATTATCAAAACTTAAAAGTTAATATAACGGATATATGCCTATACATTTTTATCACTATAAATGGTACTCCTATTATATTTAATATTTAAGATGTATATTTTTTTGTGAATACACATTAATTACTAATCATATATTTATAACTAATATTATAAAAATAATTTTATATATTTTTTAAATTAATAATATTTAATTTAGATACTTAACAAAACTAAAAATATATGGTTTATAAGAACATCATGAAATTCATGTTTGATAAATAAATTAATATATATAAATATAATGTCATAACATTATTCAAATGTTTGACAAAACTAATCTATCAATTCTAACTAAAAAATGAACAACATGCAATGTGAGTCAACGCTACTAAAACAAGTAAATTGGAACCATGAATATAACACAATTTCAAAATTCAAAAAAAATAAAATAGTTTAACATATATCAAATTCCAACATAATAATAGTAAGTCCAACTGCAACTTAAGAATAGGAAACATGATAGATTTATAACNCACAATTTCAAAATTCAAAATAAATAAAATAGTTTAACATATATCAAATTCCAACATAATAATATTATAACAACATTCAACAACGAAATTTTACTTTAATTGCATCACTCATTATATGCCAAATTTGTTAATGACTCATTATTTCTAATATATGGAGGCGTAGTTTCAAAAAATAGAATAATAAAATATTAACAATTACATGGAATCACAAGAAGTAAAGATAGATAAATAAAAATAATAATAATGTACAAAGAAAAAAAAACATATTTTAAATTTTCAAAAGAAATTAAAAAGTAAAAAAAATTAAAAATTAAAATAATAGAAATAAAAAGTTATAAAGAAAATAAATTAAAATAAAAACAAAAATGAGAAAAACTAAAAAGCAACCTTGTAATTACACAGTGTAATTACCACCAATTCTCACCTCCCCCTTGAGAATTGGAGAGTGTAATTACACCCCTCCAATTACATCCAATTTCATGCTGACCAAGTAATTACTTGGCCAAACAAACATGTCAAACTGTGTAACTACACCTAATTACACCTAAATCCATTTTCAAGATGGCTTTCCAAACAAGCTCTTGGTGTTGGTAAAGATGTTTTGATATGTACCTAATTTTTATTATAGATCATCATTAATTAATTAATATATAATTTACTTTAATATATAATTTGATCACAATAAATTAATGTACTTTGCTGTAATTACAATTAAATATTTCCTTCGTTTCAATTCAGATGAGGTAGTTTGACTCGGTACGGAATTTAAGAAAAAAAAATAAAACTTTTGAAACGTGTTGTCTTAAAATCTTAAGGAGTAAAAGCTCTGTGGGCCTATAAAAGCGAAGACTTTAAAGTTGAACTAGTATTAGTACCCGCGCAGATGCGCGGACACTAATCATGTCAAATATTTAAGTTATTTGGATTGTATGTAAATAATCTTAAAATTTACACTTTCTCAGTAAGTATAGATAATCATTGGATATTAACTACGTGAAACAAATTAACCATTTCTTCTATTTTTCTTTTTTGATATCATTCTTGTCAGTGTCATTGGATCCTAAAAATAGTCAGGAAGCAAAATAATAACTCATATTTATGGCAAAACAATCAAATGTTGAGACAGTGAATGACTCTTTGGATAAGACTTAACTCTTTTACTACTATTTGTACTCTTATTTGGTGTGTTGATATCTCTTAAAAAATATTTCTTTCTTAAAATTTATGTTTCTAAAATATTATTTTTCAATAATATTATTTGTATAATAATGTAATTGAAAATATTATTCTTTATTCAAAACTCATTTTAGTTGGCTATCTAAAAATATAAAAAATTCTTTAGCTAGCGAATTTTTTTTTATCCATTTTGATATTGGTCGAAAACCATGTTAAATATCTGAGTTATTTGAATTATAAGTAAATAACCTTAACATTTAAACCTTCTAAATAATTATAGATAATCGTCAGATATTAATTAAGAAACACTACATGAAAAAACACTAACATTTTCTCAATTCTCGTAGTGATAATTTATTTTTGCACTATTCTCATCTGTGTCATTGGAACCTAAAAATAGCCACAAAGTGAAATAATAACTCATATCTATGGCAAAGCACAAAGGTTGACACGATATAAACGATTTCTTTGATTACGACGTGACTCTTATACTACGACTTAAACTCTTATTTGGTATGATTTTATCTTTCAAAAAATATTTCTATTTTGAAATTTCAATTTCAAAAAATTATATATATTATAATAATGATTATCTTTATTATGATGCAAGTGAAGATATTATCCTTAATTTAAAATTCACTTTAATCGGCTATCTAAAAATTTAAATGATTCTTTGACCGGATTTATTTCAGTACGACTCCAATTTAAGTTTATCGATATCTCTAGCCCCAGAATTTGAATTTTCAATACCCTATATATGCAAAAAATTTGTTCTTTGAATCATTAAATGTTAAATTAGTTGATTATTATTGTAAAATATTGCATATACAGTCAAATTGTCAAATAGTTTATTTTTCGACACCATACTTGGCTTAACCTCAATGCAAACTACTCAAATTACATTCCAATTCAAATTCCTAATATCATATCAGTTTGTTAGTAATAGTGACTTTTTTAAAAACGATGCAAAATGTAAATTAAAAAAAATATATTCTAAGATATCCTTATATTATAATCTATGTATTTGAGATGAAAAAAAAAATATTTGAAATCAATGAGATTAACTTTCAAATTTTTTATACTCAACAAAGATGAAACATAAGAAGAAATTTGTTGTCATCTTTTTTTCTTCTCATTTTTAGATCTTTCTAACATTTTTTTCAATATTTATTTTCTTTTATCTTAATTTTTATGTCATTATTTCTTTTGTAACAAAAAATTAATTTATTTCACTATAAAAGGATGAGTTTTAATAAATATTGTCTACATATGAACTTTAATTATATTTTTAGTCTTTGGTTGAAGTTATTTTATACTTTTCTTTTGGCTTTATCAAATCTGCCTAAATAGGTGCTCACCCGATCACTTAAATTAAAATATTGAATGATGTGTAATTTATATATAATCCATATATAATATGTGTATAATCGTGTGTTGTAGGTATATCATCTATTTATATTAGCTATAAAAAGTNAACAATAAATATGGCCGGATATTATGTAAATATTCCATAAGATTTCAGTTTTTTGAGTTTATCCATGATATAACTTCTATTATAACAATTTTAGAACTCTCTAGTAATGTTCAAAAATATCTTATCTTTTTATTATCTTTGAATTAAAAAAAGTAAAGAGTTTTTTTTGTTTACATTTTAAAAAAAAAATATTTCACGTGATGCCGATTTTTTCTTTATATATACTCTTTGTTACACTTAAAAGTCGTTATAGAAACTATCAATTAGAAACCAATTTCTCTCTTGTTGAGTTTGAAAAAAAAAACCTTTCACATAATCTAATGATTCAAAACTAATATTCTTCAACGAAAAAGTAATTATACCCTTGCAATATTGGCTTGACTACAGCTAAATGAAGGGGTTTCAGCTTATACCCTTCAATTTTTTGAATGTGCTAAATTGAAATTAAGTATAGCAATTGTATAGCCAAAGTTTTGTTATTTGTTAGATGTCCATTTATGCAAATTGACTCTTCAAACAAATATTCTTCAAGAAGAAAAAAGAAATAACTTTTTTTTAATATTGACTGATTTTGTGATGTTTCTTTCTCCATCATGTATGTTTACTTTATTATATATGTAAGTAAACTTTTATTTGGTTTTATAAACTCTTTTTTGTTATTTAGATAAACATAGACGTGTATACATTTATTTTAAAAGAATTTCGTTTCATTCAAATCTAGCTACAATGTTTCAAAGAACTGTACTTATAGGATTTTAAATGTGAAAGAGTTTTATAGTTATATGGAGTAGTTTTTTTTTTTGTTGCTAGAGGCGAAGTAGTATTTANAAAACTGAAAAATAATCGTATGATAAGGTACTTAAAACTGCAAACACAAAATATATGCAACAAGAAAAGAAAAAAAGTATACGACTAAAAAATTATTTTGTGTGTGTGTGTGTGTGTATATATATATATATATATATGTGTGTGTGTGTGTGTGTGTGTGTGTGTGTGTGTGTGTGTGTCATTCTTTTTGAAACAGGCTAATAAGGAAAGCGTGTCATCTAAATTAAAACACAGGGAGTAATAAATTCTCGACATTTGTGTTTTAGTCGCACTTCGGCACGAAGGTTCTTCAAAAATTATACTTCGGAGTTCTTATTTGATTCTTCAAAAATTACAATATCCTGGACCAACAAGATAGGATTAGATTAGACGGAGGAGGACTGCGAAACTAGAGATAAAGTAATACAAGTATTTTTTTGGTAATTAAATAAACGGAAAAGGGCCAAATATATTCTTCTAGTGTATTTGAACCCCTACCGTTATACTTTAGTTCAAAATTATCCTTAAAATTAAGGGACGCGTGAAAGCTCAAGAGTAAAAAGCCCAACCCCCATTTTAAAATATCCGGTCCAATTAAAACCCACCCCTAAATTAAGCCATTAACCCATTAGCTGAACCATCCGAAACTTCACTGGAAAAATCTATCCTCCGACTAATTTTTCTCTCTTAGCAAACCTTCCTCTCCCATCTTTCATTTCCTTTTCACCTATAAACAAGGACCATCTCTCACTATTATATCATATTTTTCTCCTTTATTCCAAAATTTTCATTTTAGAAGGACAATTCAACTAAGACTATCACAAAAAGCAGGAACGACTTTCACCATCATGGAACTAAAGAGAAAAGGGTCACCATCTCAGTACTATTGTTTTATCGAAATTTGTTTGGATTTGATCAGGAATAAAGGGAGAGGGAGGGGATACGAAGAAGAGATAATGAGGGATATGGGTCGGCTAGTGGGTTAAATTAGGGGTGGTTTTAATTGGATCGGGTATTTTAAGATAGGGATTGGACGTTTTATTCTTGAGCTGCCACGTGTCCCTCTGTTATAATTAAGGGCAATTTTGAATTAAAATATAACGGTAGGGGTTCGAATACACTAATTGTATAACGAAGGATAAATTTAAATAATTTTCGACACTAGAGGGATATATTTGGCCCTTCTCTGTTAAATAAATTTTATTACCAATTAAACGTTATGGCTATAAATAATTAAATTATAATTTATACTATATTAAAAGCACGAAAGCCCTTAGCGAAATGTCGTTCACTTTTTTTACCCTTTAAAAATTAATTTTACATTAGATAAAATAGTCATTTCATTATTTTCCTAATATTTAGAAATAAATATTTAATTAGTTCTCTAATATTTAGGATTTCAAATTAACTTTGTTTGGGATATTAAATTCTTCCTTATTTGAACTACATTGTATAATAAATTTGAAAAAGAAAAATAACAACACATGAAAATTACATTAGTAACTTCGTCTACTTCAATTCTTTTTAGATTTAGACATTATTTTTTTTTGTTAGTAAATTAGCAAAACATTGGCTTTCTTTGTATCGTAAAACTTTTAAGTTTGTGATAATTACCTATTCTTCAATATTATTTTAGTCTCCAAAAAGCAATTATGATATATATATTTAAGTAACTACTCGACTTATTAAAATCTTAGGGTAATGTTTCTTTTAATAAAATGAAAAAATTATTTTTTTAAAAACCAAAATCAAATTATGATTGAATACGTTCACAAAAATTGAAAAAATTATTGATGCGAAACTTAGAGATGAATAATTTCATAATAGAAAATTGAACATTTTAAAAAAAAGGAATTACATACTNTGTTTTGACTGTTCTACGTGAAGCATGCTAGGCTAGTTCTATCTGTGTTGTATTTCGTACTTCATTCCTTGGTATATTTCTGGCTGTGGTTGCACATTTACATTGGGACTATGGATGTGGGATTCCGGTAGCCAACCCCCCCCCCCCTCCCGTTTGTTTACTTTGGGACTACGGGTTCGATTCCCGGTAGATCCCCCTGCACTTTTACTTTGGGATTGCGGGTTAGATTCCCGATAGATCCTCCCTGCATATTGATGGTTGGATTACGGGACGGTATCCCGGGAGATCCTTCGGTTTGGCACATGAGTTGGACTACGGGACGGTATCCCGGGAGATCCACTGGACAGTTGAGGAAGGGCTACAGGACGGTATCCTGGGAGACCCTCATTGTTATTCTTGGTATTGAGCTGTAGTCATTCTGTGTCCATTTTGTTCTATGTGTAGTAGTTATTATTTCGTTAGCCTGTCTTATCTCACTGCTGTACCCATTATTTCTGTCAGATTTTCATACTGTTAATTAATATTATATTTTACCTCAGTAGGGCCCTAACCTTCCTCATCACTACCCAACCGAGGTTAGGCTTGGCACTTACTGAGTATCGCTGTGGTGTACTCATGCCCTTTCTGTGCATGTTTTTCATGTGCAGATCCAGGTACCTCTTCTCAGGCNAACAACACACACAGAGAAATTTTCGAACAAATGCCATTTTTAAAAAATGATGATCATTTTTATTTTTATTTTTAAATTTTTTCAGCATTTGTATATTGATTAATATTTTTAATATATTGATAATTGAAAACTTCTATGTAGTAATTTCTCCCCTTATTGAGTTTGGTATATAAGAATGATATTTTTCATTTTCAAAAACTTACACTTTTATTTATATTAACTCGAAAATAATTTTTAGTAGAATATTTTTATGATCATTTGTAATAAAATTAGTAATCGTAAGACTAATAGATATATTTAAGCCAAGAAGTACTTAAAAGTTGGTCAAATATGGAGTATATAATATAGAGAATTGTAATGTCCAAACTACCAGAGAAGCAAGTGTAATAATATCTGAAGTTCTACAGCCTAATTTGTCACATTCAAATGTACAGGGAGGTGAATATAATTTCAAGATCTATATGGGCAGTAAATGGAATTTACACTTGGATTTAACACACGTCTACGACGTCGTTTCGATCAAGGAGAAAACTCCTAAACCCTAAATATCACCAATATAAGCTTCTTGAAGGAAAAAAAAAAGCCTGCAATTCTCGTATCGGAGAGATAAGATGCAGATCTTCGTGAAAACCCTAACGGGGAAGACCATCACCCTTGAAGTGGAATCGAGCGATACCATCGACAATGTCAAGGCCAAGATTCAGGACAAGGAAGGTAATTCACTTGTTAAAGTTTCTATGCTTTTTAAGTTTAATTGCTTCTCATATTTGAGCTCTGGAAATGAAATGGTGTCCAAATCAAATTAAATCAATTTATCAGTAATGGGCATCTCTTATATGAATTGACTGGCTCGTTTCTAGGTATTCCACCGGACCAGCAGCGATTGATCTTTGCTGGTAAACAGCTTGAAGATGGACGTACACTGGCTGATTATAATATCCAAAAAGGTTTGTGTTGATTGAAAAGTTGGCCCATTTTTGGTTGTTAGCTCGATTTTTAGTTAATTTTGTTTTTGTGTAAAAACAGAGTCGACTCTGCATCTTGTGCTGAGGCTCCGTGGAGGGATCATTGAACCGTCTCTTATGGCATTGGCCAGGAAATACAACCAGGATAAGATGATTTGCCGCAAGTAAGTTCTCCCCTGAACAATGTGGCTTTGAGCTTCATTTGCTTATCTCGATCATTTGCTGAAATCTACATGTCAGAAATTGAAAGTGTTACTGTATATGTGTTGGTTCTTTACGTCCATGATGTAATGTTTTCACTTAAACATCAACTCTTTAAGATGGCCAGTAAGCTTAGATGGCATTTGTATGTCATTGTCCTGACTTGCTCCTGATGGTTAATACAAACTTTTATCAACAAACAACAAAAAACCCAGTGTATGCAGAACTTACCCCTAACTTGTGAACACAAACTTTTATCACGTTGATGAAATGGAATGAAGTTGAAAGATGGTGGTTTTGAATCTGCGGGTGGGGTTTAGTCCAAAAAACAACCTCTGTGGTGGATCTGCACCTTGAACACAAAACTAACAATATCAAAGCTATTTTCGCTCTGATTCTAGCTTGCAAACTTTGGAGCTTTGTGCTTAGCTAAAGGATAAGTTTAGGTTCTTAGAGGGTGTCTGATGTATGAAAATCTACCAAATATGATCTACCTATGTACCTGTTTCTAGATCTTCCACTATAGCTGTTTTACTACACACATTTATGTTTTACCTTTTCCATAGATATGATACGGAGTTAGCATGAGAAGGCAGTAGCTAGAATATGGTGTAATTTTATTTTGAAGTGGTAATATGGTGTACTGAAAATTTGTTGTTCGCTCAAGAAAATGTTGACAGGTTAGTTCTCACTTTTGTCATTGTTATATCATTTGAGGACTCAATGATTATGGCACCAAGCAATAAATTTTGAGTGCTCGCCAAGGTCCTTCCCATCTAGTGCTTCGCTTTTATGTTTGCAGTGGTGATAAAGAAATGTGCATGTGGAGTTGTGTTTTTATGCCATCCATGTATCCAAAGCTCTGGTGTATACTCATGTTTTCGCTACAGGTGTTATGCCCGTCTGCATCCTCGTGCTGTAAATTGCAGGAAGAAGAAATGTGGCCATAGCAACCAGGTATCTTCTTGAGTTTCTGCAACATTTTCTATCATGTATGTTGTTCAACTTGAGTCTCCATACACTTAATGCTTTCTTTTGTTACTTGCTTTGCAGTTGAGGCCAAAGAAGAAGATCAAGTAAACAGGCGGTTGCATTTGCTGTCTAAATGCTATGCCAATTGCATGATTTTGTAGTTCTTTTGCTTACATTTTGGTGGCTCTATCGTTGTCTGTTTAACTGCAGCACATTTGTTTCAACTTCAGTTCCATTTACAAAAAGAATTTAGTGCTCATTTTGAGTTTGGTATGATTATGAGCCGTGTTTTTATTTGTTATCTTACTTATGTGCCCCTGTTTCTGTTCTTACCAGCAGTATCTAGACTACTTGGGGAAATGTTGATATGTGTGTTGTGATCCAACACTCCGCCTTAACAAGTATCTAAAGTTTTTACCTCCGTGGATAGGATATACATTACCACCGGTAAACTAAGCTACCTTGCTCATATTTTGAGAAAATGGCTCTTAGAGCAAATGAGTATATGAAAATGATCCAAATGTGTACATTGGTATCTCCTAGTATATCATCCTAAACGTATCCATTATGTGGAGAAGTTATCACTTTGTCTGAAATACGTTTTGGATCATCTTGCGTGGAGAATCAAGAGCCGCGTATTCTAATTGGAGCAATTCATCAGAAGTGAGTTGCCAACCAAGGGCTCCTAGATTCTCCTCAGCTTGTTTTACAGACTTGACTCCAGGGATAGGAATTGTACCCTTGGATATACACCAGTTGATAGCTATCTGCAATGCAACTCTATGTTACTTGCCTGCGAAAAAAATAACTACCAACATGCAATGGTAATATCGGAGCACAGAGTTTGTGAAAAATATGAATGAATTAGACCAAGAGTAAACAGCAGTTCTCTTATTCTATTCTAGAAATTGAGAGGTAAAGTGGTCAGCTTCTGCTGGAATACTCTTATAATTCAGCCATGGGATATCCTGCAGGAGGGTTCAAAACTGATGTACGTTTGTTTTCCAAACAACGCTCTATATCGAAAACGTCATAGATAGACTAGAGATACTCGGTCCGTCTTAGCAATATGATATCCTATTCGGTACTACCAAAAAGAACTAGAAAAAAGAGACGAAGAAAGGGGAAGCAAATGAAAGGGAGGAACCTTGAATTCAGCTGTTAATCAATATTGTATGTGAACAGATTAAAATTCTTTGTTGAGAACCTATTCTCCTCAAGTTCCAGTAATTTTCTTTTTGTTTTTGCTTCACAAGTTAGATGCATCTATATCTAGAAAGACTAAGGACTTTGACCATATTTTCCCACTCTAGTTTTGTGGTGTTGCACGTCTGGTTATTTTTCCTGATTCTTTTAAGGGAAACATATGTTGAATCTATCTCCACCAAAAAGTTGGCCTATTTTGCAACCTTTCATCCTTCACATCCTTAAGTGAGAACTTTCCCTAATAACGAATAAAGTACTTGAGAAAGTAGTACTCTGGCAAGCAGACAAAGTTGGTGATAAATTTAGACTTAATTGCATGAAGGAACTAATACCGTACAGGTGGTGAAGCAAAATAAAAGAAAGAATAATTCATTGCAGTAGATATTGATTGATAATACACAGAAGTTGCTGCTCAAGTGTTATAGCATTTGAAAGAGAGCTGATGAAAGCATACTTTATTAGCACAAAAGAAACGCGGTGTATTTCCTTTTGACGTGTATCTTCAAATTTAACAAATTGTGAGTGAGGAAACAGACTGAAACTGTGAAGATCAATGCCATGGAGTCTGGAGTAAAGAGAAACAGAGAGTACTAGATTCTTTCTAAAACTTTGTGGACTAAGGGTTGTAGCTCTGACAAACAATGTGAGCATGAAAAATGACCTAAAGTACATACCAACTGCTTTTTGCGGGTATACACGAGTAATGTCAAGGCCAGGTTAAAGGAAGTAAATTTTAGTAAAGACAAACTATACTTTCACAAGGCTCAGAAAAATCCTACTAAATTAACAGCCTGAATGGACTAAACCTCTGCACGAGAGCAAACAGTTGCTAGATCGCTATTCAGGAGCTTAAAATCCAAGATGTAAAATAACTCCAGAATAATGCTTTTCATTATTTCAAACACCAATACTATATGAAATGAGAATACTGAACTGAGATGCAGTGGGCTGCTTGTTTGTATTAAAAGAGCTGACTAGAAAGTTCCAGTAATACAGATGGAAGAGCATTCACTTAAATTTGAAAAAGCGGTTACCTGTGGTATGGTTTTCCGACGTCGTTGAGCTATTTCTCTCAGTGAGGTAAGTAATGGCTCCAATCCAGGTAGAATTTGTCTAAAGAGTAGTCCCCTACAAGTGATGTTTTACGTTGAGAAAAGTATCAAATAATAGCTTGAGCTATACCTGCTCATTTACTAGTTAGAAAAATTAAAACTTGAGAAGAAATTGGGAGTGCGTACCTTGGCCCAGGTGGAAGATTTGAGGGCGTATATTTCCCAGTGAGCATACCAAGACCAAGAGGACTGTATGCTATGACCCGTATGCCTAGAGAATCACAGACATTTTTCATCTCCATTTGATCATTTCCCATACTCAGCAATGAAAATTGTACCTGATGTTGGAGAGGTCACAGGATTAAGATTGTGGCACTAAAGCGGGCAACGATTTGAAGCAATTTAAGTACAATCTGGTCATATGGAATTTGATGAGTGCTAAGAATGCTTGAACATCAGAGGTGGTTGTTTCTCTTTTTCTTTTATTGAATAATGGTGATATCAAGGCTAGCTTGCGCGGCCTCAACAACTCCACCGTATACTGCTACCTCCTACTAGCACAAGTACCGGGTATGTTTGTCCCATTAGAGCAGATTGTCTTCATTTTCTTTAGACTTCCCAGAAATAACACATTGTTGGTTGTTACCTCTTTTAAACAACATAGAATTCCACACTCTGTGTATATCTAACTTGGGCATCGTACATAAAATATTGTATTTGCTTCTGAAGAGAAAGTTAACTGCATACTTCATAGTAAAGTAGGAAGAAGACTCGGCACCTGGGCTGAGCGCAAAGGAACTCCTCGGTCATCAAGATATTTGTGTATTTTCAGCAGCTGCTTTGGTCCATAGTTGCTCACCCCAACTGCACGAACTAAACCCTACACGAGAGAAAAATTGTGCAACAATATGAATCTATCAGGTACTTTATCCATTAGTGATAATCAAGACCAGAGTTAGCCGAAAGTAGAGTCAAAAGCATTTCTACAAGTGACAGAATGACACCACAACTTTGATCTCCCCTCACACTAAATGGTCAAACAATGCACGCGATTCTAAATAAATACTTTGAGTTATTAGTAACCTTCTCGTACATGGCAACTAAACCATCCCAAAGTGCTCGTTCCTGCAGAGGTGCATAATTTGCAGTTGACCAGTGCAATTGTCCTATTCCAATTTGCTCAATTAGCATCCTATCCAGAGAAGACCTGACACAAAGTTCTAATTAAGAAAGCATCTTGTTGGTTCATATGAAACAGCTAAATAATGAGGCTAATGTCTTCTGCAGTACTCTTAAAAGTTTGTTATACCAGATAAAGGAGTAGATAATGTAAATTAGTGCACTTCCGACAAACATGTAATTTTGATCGAGTGAAAATATAGATATATTTTCCCTATAAAACTGGAGTTTTGATAATCGGATTATCAGTATGTTCAAAAGAAATGAGGATAGGGCAATACTTGCAAGCATTCACAAATTGTCCAGGTGTTAGACGCCATGGGTATGCTGCAAACTTTGTTGCAATCACAATGTCATTCTTTACTTGCTGGTCTCCTGAAAACATGAGCAGTCAAAAACTTAGAAAACAAAAAAGAATGTCCACTGCCATTAGAATTGGGTAGCCTTGATATATGTAATGAGCACCAAATGCTCAGAGAGCAGTCCAACAGTCAGTCCACCCTGCAGGTGAGCATAGTTACTATCCCTTCTATGCTTCTCTTCCTATTATGTCCAGGGGCGGAGCTAGAGTATCGGGAGCGGGTTCGTTCGAACCAAGTAGCTTTGGTTCGAACACTATATTTGTCTTAAAAAATCTATTAAATATGTATAAATTATTAATTAAGAACCCAATAACTTAAAATGATTAGAATCCTGAACCCATAAGCTTGAAATTCTAGCTCCGCCTCTAATTATGTCACAGATTTACATAATTGATGAGAGAAGCAAACAATTCTTCGAGACAACACACAAAATTAAACAAGAAAAGTTGGGAGCTAAACCAAATTCAGTGTTGTTCTATGTTTCCATAAATGTGAAACAACTAAGAATTTTACAGTGAAACAAATGCGCCTAAGATAGGATAGTATGAATTGGCAATGCAATTCTATGCCTAGTTCCTGAAGGGAATGATTCATGAGTATGTGATTGGCTATGCAATCTTTCTAATGAATTAGTCCATGAAATGCTCCAAAAGAGGACAAAGTAATGTCACCTGGAAACTCGCGAATGAATTTTCCGAGAAGTTTCTCACTTTGTCCATTTAACCTTCCAGTCCCATAAGAATCAGCCGTATCAAATAAGTTGATGCCATTCTCCACAGCAAGATTGAAAGTGCGCTGAAGTTCAGAGTCCATAGAATCTTGATAACCCCACAGAAGCTGATTGCCCCATGCCCAAGTACCAAACCCCATTGGAGATACAGTCAAAGGTCCCATCTTTACCTATTAATTCAACTCAATTAACCTTGATTTTCCCAATTCATGAAACTAGCTAAAGGAGATGAAATAGTACATTGAAGAAAGTACCTTTTGCCATGGCCAGAAACGGGGAATTTTGAGGGATTTGAAAACAGAGGAGGATGGAACAGCATCATTTGTGGGACTACTACATCTGAAGTAAGAAATGGATTTTGATGCTGGAAGCGAGAGAGCCATTGCTCCTGTGAGCTTAGGGTGAGAAAGGATGCTGATAACTGATGAGAGGTTGTTCGACCGTTAGATGCATTTGGATAAACCGAGAATTTTAAGCTGAAAAACGCTATAGATAATAATCCAAAACGGAAAAAAAAAAAAAAAGGAAAAAAAGTTGACGGCTGTGGGATTTGAACCCACGCCCTTTCGGACCAGAGCCTAAATCTGGCGCCTTAGACCACTCGGCCAAACCGTCGTTATGTTGTAACGCTTGTCTTCTACAACTATTTAACGTAATGATTTCACATAAAGAGCAGCCATTTTTTCACGGTTTCTTCCTGTTGGATCTTCTGCACCGTACCGGTAAGTTTTTTGTGCTGAAATCATACGTCTTCCAGTTAAGAATTTACCTAATTGGTGACTCTAGCTTTCAAGAATTTGTTGATTACTTACTTGCCTTTCTTATTTAAGTCGATTTTGTGTATGTCGCAATGCAATTTGCAGTATTTTAATCCCCTCTTTTCTTAGACAAAACTGAATCTCTGTCGTTCCTAATGGAGGGATGACTGGGAAAAACGCCGCACTGAAAAGAGGAGGAGGAATATCTGATAATTGAGCCTAACCAGTAAATACCCAGCAGCAGTCCTTTTCCTTCAATTTTCTATTCCTTGTTTTTACATTTTGGTCAGAGTGATTGTTATTGTATTAACCGTCACTTGTTCCAGAATTGAAGTTCTATGCACCCAATTAAAATCACTTGCTGCAGCTTCAGACTAATAGAGGTACATCCGTAATACATGTCTCTACTCTAGTGATTTTATATGGTTAGCAGTTGTATCGCACTTTTGGAATTTCATTTACATAACTTATTATAAACTCCAGTGCGATGGGCAATTGAAGACGAGCATCTCTTTTACTATCTGATTATGGTCACACACCAGGAAAAAGGTATTGTTTTTGTTTTGTTTATTTTTTTCTCTTTTCCTCTCTCTCATTGCATGTATTTTTTTTCAGCAACAATTTTTCTAAGCCTTTTATGAACAACAAAATGGTTTCGGAGAAAACTAAAGCATGCATCTTGTTAACGCACATTGATTCACAATCAAAGCCTCTGCTGTTTGTGCTACTACTCTCAATTCTCAAAGACGAGAAATTTTTTTATCAAGCTAAATTCTGATTCTTGGGCAAAATTGAAAAGAATAAAACGGAAAGATGGGATATAGATTCCTCCTTCTATTCTCCTACTACACTGACTCTATTAATGGTGAAAAGGGAGCTCTTTTAGGAAAGTTCTGTACAATTGTGAAGCTTAGAAGTCCCACAACTCGGAATTGTCACATGATTGGTTGAAGCTGCTACCTAAGCCAACACACCACTGTTCTAAGGAATTGTCTCCTAATTCCTCCAGGTTTAAAAATTCTGCTTCTTCTTTGGGAGTGAAGTATTTATCTGTTTCTTCTGCTGTATCATCATCCTGATCTTCCTTTACCCTCTTGTGGTCGAATCTTGCATTTGAGCAACCTGGACTATCTTTCAACTCTAAGTCTGTTCCTCCATTTTCTGTGCTTGTGTACAATTCATTGTCTTTCAAATCTTCGCTTCTGCTGCCTCTAGCAAGATTGTTTTCTAGCTGATCATTTAATATCTCCAACTGTTTGAAAAAAAACAATCTTTATTAGCTTCTATAAGTTGGCTTTCACTGTTAGAAAAGAGGATACAAAATAAAATGAAAAAGAATACCTGAATGAGCAGTCTCTCCTTTTCAGTCTTCAAGGATTGAAATTGCATGTTTAAATTGTCAAATTTTGCTTTGAGTACTATATATTCGTGCTCTAATTGCTTTGATTTCCATCTGGCCCTTTTATTCTGAAACCAAATAGCTACTTGACGCGGCTGCAGCCCAAGATCTCTTGCCAACTGCAGCTTCTTTCTTGGCTCAAGCTTTGTCTCTAGTCTAAACATGGACTCAAGCAACTTCACTTGTTCATCAGTAAACCTTTTACCATTTTCAGTACTCTTCTTCTTTAAGGAGTTGGGACTCTTAGATTTTTCCAGTTCTTGAGATTCTTCTGGTTCCATTACTTTGAGTTCCAAGTCAGAGAAAAGTGTTCTGTTGTCAATTGTGTATTCAACTGGATATATGGAGAATATTATATTAGCAGGGCAGCTATGTTTAAAACTTGTTGTATATGTGTCTTGATCTAATATATAGTCACCTAAATGAGAAATATCTCCTGTGGTTGCTTTCAGGTGATTGGGACTTTTGGTTTGCTGGTTGATTCAAGCCTATTGTCTAAGCTGTCGTGTATCTTTTTCCAACCTATCTGCTGGATATTTTTTTGATATCTTTATAATTCTCAGGGATACCTTCCAGGTTTTGGTTTTGTTTTCAAAGTGAGTAACTTTTATTGTCTTAAGTTATCTTTCCCCATCAGCCTTTGGCAATTCCTTGAAGTATAAGCTCGTTTCATTGATATTTTAATTTTTAAGTTATAATTTATCATCATACTTCAAGATATCAGCTTGATATTTAAACAGTGTAGGAGCATTGGTATGGGATATGGATGAATATGAGTTGTGCACTTAAAGGGTATAACAGAGCCTAGAGGTAAAGTTACTGTATTTGTAATTAAATAAAATAAAAAAATAAATATTATATATATATATACACACACACATTTAATGAACTTTTTGCTACAAATACAGCATTTAAGTACAAGTAATTGGATTCCGCTGAACCCGTACCTAATAGGCTAGCTCCGGCTCTGCCTGTATGATGATGTGTGCAACTTGTGTGCTGTTTCGTAGTATTGGAGAAGTTTTTGCTGATAATTGTCCATATGTTTCTGAGAGAATTAATGGTTTTATACAGTTGTTTTGGGATCACAGGATGCAGATGATCATGTTACTTCTATTCAGCATGTATTCAAACATACGTGTAACATATTTTACACATATGGAGAGAGACGTTTTGGAAGAAAATGAATTAAATGGACTGTACATAAAAGACAGTAAGATAATGGATATGGTCGCCTAGTAGCTACAAAAGAGATAAGTAGCTTTTTTGGTTCTTGTATTATTAATAATCATGAGGAGGAAGAAACAGCCAACTTTAGGACTTTAACTTCAACTCAAGATTCCTATTCTTTTGATTTTAAGTACACCCACGTATTCTATGCTGAATTTTGATTCCTGAAATTTGCCCTATTTTACTTTTAGCTTGTCTTTGTAATTGAATTGTTTGTTTGATGTGGTTGCCTGTTTCTACCTTGTCCTTATAAGACTTGAAGTGTCTCCTATACTATATACAGGTGTCGTATGATTTATGGTGATCTTTCTTTTTTAGCCGTAAATTTTGAAAGTGTCCTGAGCAATCTTGTCAATTGTGATAAGCTCGATCCAGAGTTCAGTGAGGAAGAAGCTATGGCTAAATGGTAGGTGAAGTTGCTATTCGTTAGTATTAGTTATAAACGTGGTCGATGGTTTTCTGTATTATTTTTTGCTTTATGTGTTAGGAGGTGAGTAGTGACAAATTTAGAGTTTAGGCGTTGTATGTTATGAGTTGAGAGAGCGAGTTCTGAAATGTATATCTTCAACTCTCTCTATATATATATATATGGAGTTTGATCTCGAAGCATTGAATTATATCAAACCGGCGAACCTATGGTGGAATCCACCTCTGTTGAGAAGGGCTGGTTGAAATGGATGGCCTTAGTTTTCAGGAATATATAGTCGTACATTTATAATGTTTCTGGATGCTACATTACTTAAATGTTGGCATTCCATTTCTATTTGGTGACATACAGTGGCGAAGCCAGAAAATTCAATAAGGGTGTTTAAATTTTGAACACCCTTTGCCAGTGGGTATGCAAAGGTGCTCAAAGTCTATTTTTAATCAATAACAAGTAATATTTTACCTTATACGTAGGAGTATAATTTTTCGGCGAAGGGTGGTCAGTTGACCATCCTTGGGCCAACATAGCTTCGCCTATGGTGACACATCCTTGTGCCCTATTTTCTTGATAGGGAGAGAGCTGAGATTTGTTACTACTTATAACGCATTACTGAAATCCCAGTTTCACTTTTAATATCAAGTTGATGATTCATGCTAGAGATGTACATTGTAGCTGAAGTAGACAAATGAATCCATGAACTTAAAGAATGAGATTATAGTTATCTTAATGTAATCTTGTTTTATGTGGGTGTTTCTTTAGTGGGGACTTAACAAATCTCTTTTTTGACTTGTGACTTATGAATTCTTTGTACTGACCCCAAAAAAAGAAAATATTATTGCTGTTAGTTTTCTCACTTACCATGTCCTAAGGTTTAAATCTGTCAATGGATTTGCTGGCAATTGATGCAAGATAATGTTAAATTTATACAAAGATAGAGTTTTGTAGGAACCTTTTTTTCTTCAATATAGGAACCTTTAAGAATAGAGAAAGATAAAATTCCAGGGTCAAAACAGTCATTGTCAAAAGAGGTCTGCATAGCTTTAGAGATTTTTTAATCGCGAAAATGACATTGCATAATTGCTCTTAAAATAATAACCGTATATATATATATATATATATATATATAAATTTTATACACTTTTGCGGCTACTGAATTTTGATAATTTTCGACCCCGGTTAAAAGTGATATTTGCACATGATGATATTTATTCCAAGTCTGAATTTTATGATTCCTAACTAGTAGTTCTATGCTTGTGGGAGTCAATAAAACTATCCCCACTTAGCAAATTTTGTTGGTGCATTGCACCTTCTCTCTTGCTACTCTTTCAAGTACCAACTCCTTGAAAATGACGCCCAAATTTGTCCTAAACGGCCATGATTAGTCTTTCCTTTTCAATTAGCAGGGTATGCAGCAGATGCTTTTTGTAATGTAATTTTCAACATTCTTGGAGCGACATGTGCTAGTAATTAAGCGGAATACTAAATTTTTTGTTTAATTATCTGACTTAATCAATTCATATTCAAACTTTGTTTATAACAAATTAAGTAAATTGATTTCAAGCTTAATAAGGAAGGTTGTGGACTTATAAATTGAAATAGGTACGTACAAGCTCCACTATTTCAAACTTCAAAAAAAATATGCCTGTAGACTTATAGGCTATAGCTCGGATTTTTTTTTTTAAATTTCTTTTAAGTTACATCAGAGAGTGGAAACTGGAAAGGGAGAAAGGGGATCAGAGGCGGATCCAGGATTTGAGACTTATTGGTTCCTAACGTAATTTTAGATTAATATGCAATAATAGCTGGTTTTACAGTTGGATATTTACAAATATTTAGTGAATTTCTTAATATAAATATATGGTCTACGCAAAAGTTACTGGGTTCCTGAAAACCCGTATCCTATACTCTAGGTCCGCCATCCAAGGGGATGATACGTTATTGATAGATTGAACCTTCCACCTCAATTGCGGAAGGCAGGAAACTCACCCAGTGAGATACTCAACCTCATTATAGATCGAAATTGTTACTTCGTTTCTAGTTAATAATTCAATAAAACATTTGTATTATTTTACAAATGACCTAAGTGTGTAAACTCTTATAAATAGTCTAATAGTGTTGTGGTACTACATAGCCAAGTCTTGTAGCATGAGTTTCGTGTGCAAGATTGTAAGATTAAATAGGGGTGGTCCTGGTCCAGAGTGGTTTATGTCAATTCTGTGATGTTTACTAAACGTGGAAAAGGGAGAGTGAATGTGGTTTATGTCAATTTGGATTACTATTACACTTTCAAACCTAATTTGGACAACTTCTCGTCATAGTCAAGCTATTGAAATATTGATGTAGTAAAGGATCAAAGCAATTGAACCCTTAAATGCACGAGGTATTGGTCTGAATCTCTCTCTCTAAACCCTAAACCATAAATGTGCCGACAGGACATGTGTAAATTCTTCTATTAAGGGAATAGAAAATCCGACGACAACAAGCCGACTTTTTTTTCTTTCTGTTCCTTCTTTTATTTTTTTACAAGATTTTTTTTCTATTTTATTTTGTTATATGTATTTTTTATAAAAGATAGTGTTCTTAGCATTTAATTTGGAATGCTAAAGTATCTACAACATTTCACTGATTAGATATATGTTATTCATGATAATGTGTATAACGACCCGATCAGTCATTTTGCTTTTGAGAACCCGGTTCCCCTAAACAAGGCTTTCTGTATGTATTTTTACTGTTTTATGACTTGCGGGGTTGGTTAGTTCGAGATTTGGAAGAGTTCGGGTTGAAATCGAAACACTTGGTTCCATGGTTTGGCCTTAAAAGGCTAAATCTGACTTCGGTCAACGTTTTGGGTAAACGACCTCGGAATTGGGATTTGACGGTTACAATAGGTTTGTATGATGATTTCAGACTTGGACGTATATTCGAATCATGTTTTGAATAATCCGGGAGCGTTTCGGCGCCTAATAGTAAAAGTTGGCTCTTTAAAGGTTTTAAAGTTCTTTAAAATTGGTTTGGAGTAGGTTTTGGTGTTATTGAGGTCCAATTGGGATTCCGAGATCGGGAATAGATCCGTAATATCATTTAAGACTTGCACGCAAAATTTAGTCTCGTTCTGAGGAGTTTAAGTAGGTTTCGGCGCGTTGGGAGTAAGTTGAAAGAATTTGAAGTTCATAAGATGATCCTATTGGTTTGGGTTGCAATTCTTAGTTTTAATATTGTTTTCCGTGTTCCGAGGGTGCGAGCGAATCCGTTTTATGATTTCAAACTGGTTGGTATGTTTGGACGGGGCCTTGGGGGGGGGGGGGTCGAATGCTAGTTGGACGATGCGCAGATTGAGTTAAAGACTCAAAAACGGTTGCTGGTGCACCAGTTCTGGTGTGCCCACACTTGCGAGCCCACTGATGCGTGATCTTGGCCGCAGAAGCGGCTTGGGAACGTTTGGCCATAGACCACAGATGCGGGTAATTGTGGGCGCCTGCGAAAGCGCAAGTGCGATTGAGGAAAATGCAGAAGCGGCCTGAGCCGCAAGAGCGACATGCTTGACGCAAAAGCGGGATCCCGTCCGCAGAAGCAAAACCAGCTAGCCTTAGGCGCTTCTGTAGAAGAGGACCTTTGTCCGCAGAAGCGATGTCGCAGATGCGACCCTGCCACCGCAGGTGCGAAAATCGCTAGAGGCAGTGTGGTCCTTTTAAAACGGGACTTAGGCATTTTGAGCTCATTTATTTCGTTGCTTGGGCAATTCTTGGAGCTCTTAGAGAGGAGATTTCACCTGACACTTTGAGGTAAGTAATTTCTACACAGTATGAGTTAAATACATATTTTATAGGTAGATTTAATATGTAAATTAGTGAAAATTATGAGTTTAGGTGAAAACCTGGATTTTTGATAAAAATGGGATTTAACCACAAAAATGGTCATGGAATTTAGTAAAAATCATATATGAGGTTAATTTTGTTTCCCTAGTGACATAAGAAAATACAACTTGATATATAACTAATCAGTATGGATTTTTTCAATCAAAAAATCCTTCTCAATTTTAATTATAACAACAATTATGAGTATATGTAAAACCCCCCAAGAGAAATTGTTAGACGAATATATATTATTTATATATGTTCCCCATAGAGAATTTTCAGATATCAGAAAAGTATCATACTTCAATTTGAATTTTGAATTGAATAGAAAATTAAAATTCCGTTTCATGCAGGCGAGTTGCAGCCTGCAATCCGAAGTGAGGACGGGTTATTGGGGTTAGCTCACCCTTGCAGGATCGCGACCCTTTGTCCCGATAAAAACTTCCATCGAAAATTTGCGGAATCCGGGCATGTGGGCACAGGGGTGAATTTTAGGAATTTTTCAATTGGGATTGGGTAATCACTTTAATAATTAGGATATGAACTTTTGAGCGTGTATTGACTATTTTATATAACATTTGACTAGTTTCAAGTCGTTTGGAACTGAATTGAGGGTTTAAGCACAATCTTGGACCGAAAAGTAGGCTTTGAAACGAGGTAAGTCTCTTTCTTAACCTTGTAAGAGAGAATTAACCACGTAGGTGAATTTAATTAATGTGTGCTTCTATTTGTGGGGGGCTACGTCCGCACGAGGTGACGAGAGGCCGTACGTAGCTACTAATTATGTTTATGTCTGGGTAGTTTTAGGTTTACACCATGCTTTATTGACACCGTTATTTAACTATGCTTACTAATTGCCTTGAATAGAGCTGAGATTGAGGATTTCAAGATTTTAAAAGTTCCTAGTTG